TCCATGTGATGTGAGTATCACATCACTGCCTCCATGTGATGTGAGTATCACATCACATGGAGGCAGTGCTTAAAAGCCTGAATTTTGCCTGAAACTCTCAGACTGAAGAAGTCTCTTGGAGGAGAGACGAAACGTTTCATTAGAGAAGAACTTGTCCAGAAGACCTACACAATTTTTTTCTTTTTGAAATTTTTACCTGGATTACTGAGATGCATCAGGTCACTAAGATAGAGACATTTTTGTGTTGGCTAAAGCTGATTAGCTGTGGTGGCCATCTTGAAATGGGCTGGCTCCAAACGTTAATCGGTTGTGGAGGTACATCCAGTGCTTATTTCCTGAAAAACTTATTAAATTCTGTGCAACGGTTCATGAGATATTTTGCTAACAGTGTTGACTCAAACCAGATAAAAGTGAAGTTTTAAGCAGAGATCTTAAGCAATGTGTTAGCGCTCAGAATATGACTCTCAGTGACTCCCAAGCTGATTTTCAAAACATCTGTAAAACTGATTTTCACCTTGCTGGCAGGTGGAAATATTTAAAGACTCTGATCTTCAGCCTATCCTTAAACCTGAAAGTTTCTGGGACAAAGGTTATGTCGTTATGGTTTTAAGGAGTATCCAAATGTATCCTTTCAGAAAGTGAGGTTGAACTTTGACCCTCGGCTGCCAGAAGCAGACTGACGCAGAACTGAAACCTGACTCACCTGCCGCGTTATCAGAACCTTTTTTAAAGCAGGAAAAACTGTTCCCTTTATTTCATCGCCAGCCACAGACGGTGAAGACGGACCGATGTCGTTGTCTGTGCCGTCAGCCAAATATCTCACAAATCACTGAAACTCACAGAGCATAATCTTTGGATGTACAGCTGAATGTTTGATGTGAATTCAAGATGGCCACCGCAGCTAGTTGAACAGCCATCCAGAGTCCCCTCTGACAGATCTTGTAGGACTCAAAGCATAAGCTGTGGATGACTCTCAGCTACTACCAGACCAAACTCTAGCTCAATCTCTTTAAAACGGACTGCTGACCGCTTCTGTGTTTGCTGAGTTTGACACGATTAATGGTTTTCAGCACCTTTTTGGTTTCAACCTTTAACCTGGTAAAAAAAAAGTGGTGACCATGTTCAGTTGAGATTATAACAGAAGTGAACGGAAGATAAGTTAATCAGCAAAGAACAACAATGTTGCACAATGAGTGACTTCAGCACTGAGCGGTGTGGTGCAGTCTGCACTTAATTGACAGGTTAATGCTCCACCCTGCGGTCTGATTAGGGTGTTGTTTGTCAGGATGTTATTGTAAATAACGCCTCGTTGATTTGCATCAGCTTTAGTGGAAACGATAAATGGTTCCTATTTGATTACATGCAAACATTTATGAAATTGTGAGAAATACAGAAATTTAATCTAAATATTAAGTTGCACCTCAGCTTGAAATAATATGTAATGGTTTTAATCACCCACTGCAGAAAGATGACAAGCAGGCAATGAAGTCTTTGACTCTCTGTTAGCAAAATATATCACGAACCATTAAAACTTTTAGAAAGCAACAACTACTCAACTTTTGGTCGCCACAGCTAACTAGAAAACACGAAAAAATGGACATAATTCAGTCCATTTTAAAGAAGTTGTGTTTAAATCTGATGTGGTTTTAAGTGGGAGTCATCCACAACACACTTTGAGCACATGGTGTTAAAATGACTATCATGGCAACAAGCATTTCCTTAAAGAATGCTGGGCTTTTAATTCAAACTACAGCTTCATATACAACCACATTTATTAAACCTTTTCACTGCCTGAGCTCCAAAGTTGGTGGGTCCTTAAAAACATGTCACATCTTTGTATCACTGGACAACGTCATGTGGGCAACAACAAATCATTGAGGCATCTAGACTGGTCCTTAAATCCAGTGTGACGTCTTCAGCTGAACTAGGCTAGAGGCTATTTATTTATTTAATTTATTGATCATAGGAGACTGACTGGATTTATCTACAGTATCTCCTACGGGACAATCACCACTAACTATGGGTAGTGGGGAACCTCAAACTGTTGATTTAACAAAGCTTTACACAGATAAGCTTATAAGGATTAACAGAGCTTGCAAATAAATACACTTTATTTAGTTCAAAATAGTATTAGAAAAAACACTTCGATCTGAGGGCTAAGATAATCATAGACTAGTTTTTGTTACAAAGAGTATTAAAATAGAGAGCTATACTGGCCTTAGGAACATCCAGATGAAATTACTTACAAACTATTTACAGCGGGTAAAATAAGTTTTGAACACGTCACATTTTTCTCAGTAAATATATTACTAGAGGTGCTAATGACATGAAATTTTCACCAAATGTCGGTAACAACCCAAGTGAGCCATACATACAAAGAAATCAAACCATAAATGTCCAGAAAGGAAGTTATTTGTAATGATGTGGAATGGCACAGGGAA